ATACGCCGCTGCGAACAGAAGGCGCACTCTGTTGCCCGAGACGAGATTCTGCGACCGACACGAGGGCGCGCTGTCGACGACAGAAGACCGAGTTGCAGGCAATACCAAGCTGCCGGACATGGAGTTGATGCACAAGCTGAAACAGGTACAGTAAACTATTCTCTGCTATTCTGTCTGCCTTCTCTTCATAACATACAATTGGGGGACATAACAAGTCTCGACGCAGGTGCTCACACAAGCTTATAACATAAAGCCTGCGCTGAAGTTAGGCGACCTTTTGATTGTTTCGCCCACTGAGACTGCTTTCTCTTACAAGCTTGCACCACCGAGATTCCTTCGATAAACGAGGGCGCTGCAAGCAAACACTCGGCCGAGGATCGGCAAGACAATAAATGCTTCGTCATATGTCCAATAAGAGATTTAAGTGAGAAAGCGACTTAGATGCTAGACCTATGTCATATTACTTGTACTGAGAGCGGATATTAGCAATAAGGAGATAGGAAATAAATATGAACGAACCGGCCGTTTTTGTCCACAGCCTACTGAAATTAGGAGTAGGAGCCATAAGGACAAAGATTTTGGAGGCGATATCATTATTGGAGACCTGAAAATATGATGGGTTAGGGACCGCTGGCCAAAAACGGAAGGAACCTTGATGGCAGAATGGATACGTTTCACGGCAGACTTTTCGGCAAAGTCGAAGCGCCGCAGCTTGGGGAATAGTGTAGAAGCCTGTGGAGAAACAAATTAAGAGGGGTATGATAGAGACGAAACAGCGTACTTTTGGGTTGGTTTGAAGACGTAGCATTAAAAGGATCTGTTCGCCAGTGGGCTCTTCAGCCGCTCGTGCTGAATCCCAAAGGGTTTCCACGAGGTCCTTGTAGACTGAGAAGTTCTCTCCAGCCAATGATACCATTCTAGGGAGAAGCAGATGGATCCTGGGAGCGCAGGCTTTGGCCTTTAACAGAGGATCCAACTGGGTTACAATACGTTCATGTTCGCTCCTAGAAAGCTAGTAAGGTTATTCAGAGGTAAAAGACAATGCTGATTGAGCCTACTTTATCAAATCGGCCAGCGTCGAGTAATATTTGTGGAACGAGAAGTTTGGCAGCGTTGAGAGCAGCATTTTCCTGCAGAATAGATTGCAAAAAAAGACATGAAGTACAAACAATTGAAGATGACGATGGAAAAGATACTTGGTGTCGACCTGTCGTTGGCAGCGATTTCTTTTTCTGCAAACTGATAACCGAATCACACTAACGAAGGTTTAAGTAATATAGGCTAAAATGCGGTCTAATGATCATAGAACATCTTACAGATTTGCTCCGTGTCAGATCAGAGATAACTGCAGTTTATAATGAAATTTGCTGGCACAAGTCAGTTTCTATAACCCTGTAAATTGACCACCATGTTTCTGGTGTCCAAAGTATAACCCTGACAGGTTGTGGCAAGTTCGCTGAAGCCTCGGGCTTAGGGGTTAGACACTTATGCAACTTTTGGGACAGGCAGCTTGCATTTTTCAAGAAAGTCACTGGTGGCGTTGCCAGACAGGGGCGCTGAGGTGGATATTTTGGGCTTATAAGCCGTCGTCGGCCAGTCTTATCCCAAAACCGTGTCTGCAACCCCTGAGCCTCGATCCCGCGTCCTTTAGCCATCGAGTGTTACTAAGTCGATCGCTCTATCAAGTGAGTCACGGGTTCTTTGTCCTAACGTGTTGCGATGAACAATTTAATGTCCAGACGGGACTACCAACAAATTGGCACTACCACAAAGCATATAGGGGCGATCGGAATGTACTATAGTCCTATCTGTCGAACTGCCTGAAGGACATTTTAGGATGCAACAGTAAAACACACACTAACATTACCATTTTAGCTAATCCATGACTGCATTCAGTTAAAATAAAAAGATTTTGAAACGCTTCGAACTAAGATACCGCAATTTTAAATAGCATTTCAAGGGGTCAGTAGAAAACTAAGAAAACACTTATCACCAAGAAAATCAAATAGGGCGGAGTATCAAAAGGAGGGAGATGGCCCATTTGGATGCCATGGACACATAGACGCGCCGTTGCAGCTCCGTCAACCAAAGCATCCGAGCTCATGATAGTTAAGCACACTTCACTACACTCGACCAGACACGTTCTGAAAATATCCCAACGTGCTAAAAGTCGTGCCTTAAAATACGTGAAGTACGGTGTGCGCCAATGAAGTCAACGTACACACGGTGGACCTCTGTGTGTCGATACAATCAAAGGAACATAAATCTGAACGTCCTCGATAGCGACTGACACCCAAGAAGGCTTCGTTTAGTCGATAGACCGTTAAGCGCATTTAATTCAGGTTGCCAG